TATCACTTCACTCTCCATTCTCCAACTGTCCTAAGACGAACTTTTCGAGATTCTGATTATTATGGATCTATGTACGTGAGGTTCGCGGAATACGGTCCGTATTTTCCGTGCTCATATCACTTCGGCCAGACTGAGTGCCTGAATCGAGAGTGAAAAATTCGCCCACAGCGTCAAGCGCTGTTGCACTGGTGTGACAAGTGAGTTTATTGTGAGGCGAAAAATAATTACGTTCTCTTACACAGCTATCAGTTGAACTGGTAATGAAATGCAGTCTCTTTGACTTTCCACTTCGTCTCACATGTACCCAGGTGCGTAATGGTTAACTTCTTTGAGAATTATCAGTTCCTTTGAAAATATGAATAAAAGGTGAAGACTCCGTGCGTTTATTTAAGCACTATGACGGGAGTGGAGATATAGCCCCACCATCCTTCACCTTGGCACTAGCTAGAGGTGAGTGGTCAGCTTCACGCCTCTGCCGCTTTACTCCCGGGGACGGAGCCCCCGGTAACCATTGGATAGGAGGCTGGGTGGGCCCCAGAGCCGGTCTGGATGCTGCGTAGAAGAGAAAAATCTTGCACTGAGGGGGGGTGGAACCCGGACTGTGTAGCCTGTAACCCGTCGCTATACCGACTGAGCTATCCAGGCACTCTGAAAATATGAATAGCGCATACATTATTGTACCTGCCTTAAGAGTGATTAGTACTTCTGGAGCAATAACAATTATAAGCTAAGTAGAAAATATTGGAAGCGTCCGTGTGATTTTACCCAGTAGATCAACTACTGTGCAAATATTTGCGTTCATGAGATAGACAAGAAACAGCAGTAAGCTGAGGGAAAACATATCCGATCCGTGGCAACGAGGTGTAGGGCGATTGCTGTCTTCGACCGCTCGAGCACTGAAATCGTAGATTCGAATCCCAATAGCATCATTTCTTTTGCGTTGTGTAGTTCTGTCGGTTGCACTGTACGTTTCATACAAGTAGTTTCAGAAGTTAATTCTGAAAGGAAACAGGCCAGAGGACTTAATCCGTAAACGTAGGAGGAGGAGGAGGAGGAGGAGGAGGAGGAGAAGAAGAAGAAGAAGAAGAAGAAGAAGAAGAAGAAAGCCTCCTTTGAGTCAGTGGGGAGAGATGTACGAGTGTTATAGTAGACAACACTGTCTTTGAATTTGGGATAACTATGAAATTAGCCAGGTTGGTTATAACTATGTTTAAATGGACCTTATGTATAAAGTGACCGACGACCGAACGACCGCCGGTTGTCGGCGAAGTGCCAACTTTAGCGGATAGAGGTTGTCGCGTGGTCAGCGCAACGGATCCCCACGGTCATTAATTTCGGTTTTCTAGACCGGAGCCGCTACTTTTTCTTTCAAGTAGCTCCTCAGTTATCCTCACGAGGCTGAGTGGACCCCGTTCCAGACCCACTACTTCTAAGAAAATCTGTTAGCGCCGAGAATCGAACCCGGAACCTCTGGATCTGTAGCCAGGAACACTGGACCACAGAGGCGGTTGGTATAGTTCGCTTGCGGACTAAAAACCACCGAGTTTATGTATAAAGTGACTAGGTAAATGTTTGTCTGATGTAGTTTCTATGAGAATAGTCTGAAGTAAGATGCTTTCTTGCAGTTAATTTTCAACTATGTATTACAGTACGACAATAGGAAGTTCCGAGGAAGTTAGGAGGATATGAATTGCAGCTCGTAGACCAGAGTGACGGTGTTCCTTGGCTGGCGAAAACCTACGAGTAAATAGAGCCTATGAAAAGAAAATAAGTTAAGGAGGATAAGCTGAGGGCATGTAGCATGCATGGGAGAGCTGAGAAATGCATACAGAATTTAGCTGGAATCCCAGGGAAAACTACCTGGGAAGCCTAGACGTAGATGTAAGAAAAACGCGTATTTAACTGAATCTCAAATGAATATGACGTGAGATTATGGGATTGTTTTGTATGGCACGGGATACGGGCCAGTGGTGAGTTCTTATACTTTCGAGGCGAGGTATTCCTTCACCAGCTGAGTGATTATTGGCTTCACTCGTGAATGTAGCGAGTAGAACATAAAGAATGTGTAATGAGAGGTACATTTCAGCCCTTGTGACATTTTTTGGCACCATACGTGTTGTTTTAATGGAGAACAAAGAAAACAAGATATAGGCATGAAAGGGACAAAGGAAAGGAATACAAAGAGGGAAATATGAACGTACGGAAGAAATTATTCCCATTGCATTTCAGTACAGAAACCAGATATCCCTCTGAGACTGACAGTGAATTATACTGGGTCTCTAGAAAACATTGGTTCCTTTAGTTCATAATATTGATTCCTTCGTAAAAAATAAGAACATTTAATTCAGGTGGTGAAATGCATAAAAATACAAGGTTGGGACAAGTTAGCCAGTTTTGACCTTTTCAGCAGTGTGCCAGCAGATAAGGTCTTACGTCTATCAGAAATAAGGTGTACATGGATCGGTTTTTGTGGAATGCTCTTCGTATATCACGATGGCGTGTTAGAGCTATTAGATATGTATGTACGAGAACTACATTTTACAAACAAAAAGAGCGCGTGGCAACGGAAAGCTGACTGTCTTCGGTTGTAAATATTATTTCAAAGAATTTGGAAAATTAACACCTGATATGGCAGACTACAAATCGGTTAGGTGGTTAGATATGCTGACGACACGTTTATGGTTTGGCCACATGGGCCAGAAGTTTTATGGGAATTTCTTTGCCATATCCGTAATCCTAGACCTACCATATGACTCACCTCAGAAGTTGAAACAAGTAATTTTCTTCCTTCTAAAATTCTGGTCACAAAATGTGATTCAGCATCGTCCACAAAAGTGTACAGGAAACCTACTCGTGCTGAGTGCTATTCACGTATGAAATCATAGCTTAATCTTGCATAACAAGAAAAGTTGTACATTGTTTGGTCAACAGAGCGAAGGTCATATGTCGAGAACGTCATAATTTCAGCAACGAAATTCGGAATATAGACGAGGTATTGTGCCCTGTGGACATTCTCATCGTTTCATCATCTCCATTATGAACAAATCTGAATGGAATAGGCACCCTTCTGCAGACAGAATAACTTCTGGCGCGGTTAACACCCACCATGTCAGACGTTATCTGGAATATTTCTTCGGCGACGTATGAAATATGGAGCGGCAGGGTTCTAGGAACCATCAGAGGTGTCAGGATGTGGTCTACATACGTTCAGAGACTTCACCGACCGAAAGGAAAGAACACGTTTCAGAAAATGTGATACGATCTTTAACAGATTATTGTTAAGTGCGTGTGAGAGTCTTCACCTGCTCCACCTGCGTTGGGACCGAGGGTGTGTCTTCGTCGGTTAGTGAAGTAGACCGTTCCATTATTGTTAGAAAGGGGATCCGGGATAGCTAGGTCGGTACAGAGATGGGTTATGGGCTGGACTGTCGGGGTTCAATTCCCGGCCGAAATAACAAATTGTTTTCCTCTTCCCCACATCGTCCAGAAGAGCTCTGGGGCCCAACACAGCATCCTATCCAATGGGCACCGGGGGCTGTTTCTATACCTTCACACCCCCATACCCCATACATTTTCATGGCATGGTGCTTAATTAATTAAGTACAGGGATACCTTTACTTACTGGAGTCTATTTGCAATATAGTTTCGGTATTTGTATGCTGGTGGGAAATTAAGACACACTGAGGACGTTTCTTCTCCTGACATACCGAGGTCTGTAGAGTAGATGGACTTCCTTCGAATACAGCTTTCCAGCTACTGTGACTTTAATTACCCATTGATGTGAAACGGTATTATGATGTTAGTTGTGTAAAGAATGAGTAAGAAGGAAGCAGTCCTATTTTACATAGAGGTAATGATGAAAACCAAGAAAAGCTTTGGTTAGGAAAACTGGTATTCCAGCTAAGATTTAAACCCAGTACTTTCAGAAATGAAAAGAGTGGTGCTAATAACTGCATTATGACACCTATCATGAATGAAAATGTTCTTGTATATTGAAAGTGAAAATATTATGTCATCATTTACCTGGCTCATGTGAGGAAAACCATGAAGGCATGGATGAAAGGAAGAATATGAATGATAAACTAAGCAATTCTCATGCTACCAGATGAGTCCCAAATGCCAACCATCCCCAGTTGTCATCCGAAATGCAAGGCAGCAGAAGTGTCTTGGGTCAGCACATGATGCAGTTTTCTATTAAACTTCTCTCTTGATCCATGACATTTAACAACATTCTCTCTTGATTTTAAGCAATACAAGCACTCAGGCCCAAAGTTATATTTCACTGAATGAATTCATTGATTTGGATGAAGCAGTCATAGAAGCCAGTCAGTTGCAGAACTTATATGCTCACAAAAACTGTTACATTATTTTGAAACAACTTTTCAACATTTGAGTTCTTTCATAAAAGAAATACTGAAATTAACTCTTTGACGACATCCATCATATATAACAGCACACTTTCAGTAAATTACTTCACAGAAAAATGTGTACAGTACACTGGTTTTCATATTAATAGATGATTAGATTCTGTTTAATTTTTGTGCTTCAAACATCTTATGTGGTAACTGCCTTCTAAAAGAAGTTGTTGAAAGAAAGATAGAGGTGCCGATAGAAGTGACCAGAAGACGAGGAAGAAGACGTAAGAAGATGCTGGATGACCTTGGGGACAGAAGAGGATATTCTTATTTGAAGGAGAAAGCTCTAGATCGCATTAAGTGGAGGAACTGTTTTGGAAGAGACTGTGGACCTGTCGTCTTGACAGATTACATATGAATGAATGAATGAAACATGTAACATCTTCCTGTGTAACATATTTGTAGAATGAGAGATATATTTTGATTTAGCTCCACCTGCTTCTATTATGAAAGTCAGGACGAAACTTTATTTAGGACTGAAAGTAAATGATGCTGTTAAAGTGAGTCTGTGCAATTGCAAAATTCAAAGCTGTTGCATATCAAGTTAATTATAGTGTTTTGATCATGTCTGAATTACTGTTACAGATGATATGATGGAAACGGAAAATGAGTCACTTCAGGAACGAGTGGCTGATTTGGAGAAAAAGGTGCTGGAGCAGGGTGATGAGATTGTCTGCTTGCGCTCTACATTAGCAGATGTATTAAGGCGTCTGAACCAGCTTGACTCTCGGAGCAGTGGCGATTATAATCGAGCAAGTGTTCCAGTGCGGAATGGCAGTGGTACAAGCGCCAGAGGCAAGTAAATTGAGTGACGCCTTTTTATTACTTTACGAGTATGTGATTAACAGAAGGAATTTGAGCATCAGAATTACTGAGAGACACTTAGTTCAAATATGTGTAACGTTACATGCAGTTATATAACAGTAAGTTTCTTCTTTTCCTAAGCATTTTGCAATTTGTATTTATTTAAATCATCAGAATGTACAGACATTTTGAAAGTTAATTTTTGCATAAAAAATATCAAATAAAAATTAGTGTTAGACATAAACTGTTAACTTAAAAAAAAAACATTCACTTAAGCTCATTAGAAGTGCTGTTTGGAAACAAATTGTGCTGCTTTTTTCATCTGAATCGTGTGTCTATTATCTGGGTATTAGAATGAAGATGAATGTGAGCTGTTCACTAATAATATTTCCTCAGAGGAATTGCTATTTTAAACATCCCCTTGCCAGATTCTACTGTATTTACAGGCTGAGGTATGACTGAGTCCCTAAGCACTTAGCTTTTAAATGACCCATTTTACCAGCCACAGTTGATAGTTAAGAGAAATGGAGCATTTTTCGGAATGAGTATTAGCAGGGTATCCAGAGTGAATCTGTCCAGTGCTATAAGGTCCAGCACAAATACCACATAAACTTACCAGGAAGTGAATATGGGCAGCAGCTAGGTCCTGAGCTATGGCTTGGCCTGGATGCTACCTTAATAATCAGTGCTTTAAAGACTTACCTATATCTGAACATGTTTTGTGTCACCTGGCAGATTAGTACAGGCTTATATAAATTGCTTACAGAAAGTTACACATTAGGGTGTTCAGGGCTTTAGAGATGTCATGTAATAACTGGTAAGCTTTGCAATGTGCTGTGTGCAGTATGAACTAGCCTACTCTTTTCTGTTTACTGATCACTGAATCTCGTTTCCTTGATATGTCACAAGAAGAATGCAATTTTGTAACCTGTTATAAATCTGTTAAGTAAGTAAGTAAAGGTATCCCTGTAAGAGGCCGTGAAGGCCCATAGGATTGTGAGATGTCAAGGTTCCCACATTTTCTAGACCATTGGCTCATAGATGGCGGTAAGGTTGTCAGCTATACACGCCGGCTGCCCTTTACCCCCAAGAACATTCCAAGAATGTTCCTGGTACTTATTTCTGTTAGAGGCTGAGTCAACCCCAGGGTGATAGTGTGCCTGGAAGGAGTAGGTCAACTAAAAAAATCCAATGACCTCATCGGGACTTGAACCCGTGACCTTCCGGCTTGTAGCATAGTGCCTCAACCAACTGCACTACCGTGTGCCCCTTGTTATAAATCTGTTAGCTGTTATAAATGAACTCTTTGTGTTTGCAGTGGCAAATCAGAGCAATCATGTTGGTGCAGGAAAAGACTCCCATGGAAGTGCTTCACGTCTGCGCCAGACAGCCTACCAGCAGCATAGTGGGATGACAGATGCTGCTTTTAAAGATTCTCTCCGTAGAACAGCCAGTTGTGCCCCATCCTCGCTTCCACAGAGGTATGACATTTTACGTCTATGTATGTTTTTGAAGTAGTTATATAATAATCAGAGCAATTTTTAAATTTGGAAGTGCACAGGACTCTTATGCTAATGTAGTCTGTGAAATGATAGTACAAGTATAGGTGAGACAAGTTACAAAGTTCTGTTAAAATTAGCAAGCCAGCCATCAAATTCAGTGGTTCAAGACTTATAGGAGATCACAGTACTCGTTATAAAACTGTTATTTATTCTTTAAACAGCTGAACTGAATTATTGATTTTTGCCCAGTTTGATGTCACATTATATTTGTATTCATTTTCAGGAAAGCGTATGTTCAGTTAATTTGTATTTATTTTTATTCAACTGCACATTAAAAAATGTCAACTAGAGACAGGAGACAAAGTTGTTGTGGCCCATTCTTAGATACTATCCTGGAAGATCTGAGAAAAATCTTGAAACATCTGGGAATCTTCTGAATATGTTATCTCTGAACTAAACTTCAGTCTAAGTGGCCTCCGTAGTCTAGAGGTAACGTTCCCACCTCATGACTCGTGGTACGCGGGTTCAAACCCGGCGGAGGTCGTGGAATTTTTAAGGGCGGAAAAATTCAGGGAACAAGTCCTCCGGGAGGGACTTTAAGCTGTGGGTCCCGTGTCGTAGCTTTATGGCACGTAAAAGAACCTCATATCTCCAAAGGAGGTCACTGAGCCAAATTCAAGGACGTTTCCCGCCCAACAGTAGTCTCTAATGCCTCTGATAGATGGGGGAAGCATTATAGATACCGCCAAGGCAGTAGAGAACTCACTGGCTCAGTCGGGACTGATGGTATGCACCAATATCGGTAGGGTATAGAGACTGGTAGAATATCATAGAGGGAAGCACAATAGATCAAACTGGTCGTGGTGCACGGGGTAACCCACCCTCTCCAATAACTAACTAAACTTCAGTCTACATTATTGACAATGCAGTGTAAAGCTCCTGAGCCTGAAGAAAGATGCAAATATATATATATATATATATCACATATATAGGGGAAGAAAATACTGCAGTTCTGTAACATAATTTCCTAATATGTTGGGTTATGCAGTATTACTTAAGACTATACTGTGTATGAATGAGACAATGAAAATAATCAATACTTTCACAACTTTTTCAAGAAATTTTTATTTGAAATAAGAACTAAAAGTTTGTGACAATGGTACATTAGTACAAATATTGTGTTTCTGGACATTATCTCCAGAGACAGGGACTAGATTTATCATTTGGGCCCAACTGCGTAGGTTTTACCTGAAGATTGAGACAGAATCCAATCCCCAAAATGTTATTTTTTTAAATATAAACAGGACAGTGTTTTTAGATAAAGACAGGATAATGGATAATGTCCAGAAATATAATTTTTGTACTAATTTTTGTCTTGTTTTTTAGTTTGTCTGTCTATGGTTCATGGGGCATATGAGATGCAAGAGAAAATGATATGTGTACAAAATTTCAGCTGAAAAACATGGTGGGAGGAGACCAGTTTGAAGGAGGCAGAATGATATTAAATTAAAGAAAACCAAAGTGTGAAGGTTTGAATTGGATATAACTGGTTCAGGATAGGGTCCATTGGCAGGACATTATAAACATGGTAATGAACATTTGGATTCCATGAAGTGCGGAAATTTTTTTGGCCAGCTGAATAGTTTATCATGTTCTCAAGAAGATTTCTGCTGCAATAGTGGTGAATCACTGGGTTGTCCTACAGTAGGCTATGCTGTTTGCTATGAACTGTGCACCATCACAAGTACTGTCCATGTTTTGCAATAGTAGTGTTAACAAGGACTTCGGTTGTGCAAACTACAAGATGAGGCCTGAAAGTATCTTTAAAAACATTTAGACTGTCCTTCAGTGATGTTCAGATATCATCATCATCATCATCATCATCATCATTGTTGATAAAACCATTTATTGGTGTCCAACTTTTCATTCACATATTTTTACTTGCAAAAAATAAACAATATGGATGGAAACTTAAATGGCAGAAATTCTAATTTTGGGGTCCCTAATATGTTTTCTTTTAATATGTAGCTTAACACCTACAGCACAGCATATTTGAAATTACATATTAATAATCTATATTCGCAAGCATGAAGTATGTTCATCATAGAAAATAATTAACAGCTGCCACGTTTATCATTTTTTAAGCTATATAATTTTTGTCATCGGACACTCCTGACCATGATCGATTTGAAACAGACACATCTGTCCACTTCTGATCTAGTGGTTGTTCACTCAGTGTACGGTGAACAGCCTCCTATACCCACATATGAAACAGAAGCAGACAAAATATAATGCATATACGAAATCATTCCAAAATATGGATTTCTCTATCCTTTTTAAATAAAGCTTGAATATTCCTTAAAAGTGGAATACTGTATTGTTCATTTAAGATATTTTTTAGTTTTATACTAGACTTGGTGGAATTCAGTGAACTGTTTCAGAATATCACAATGCAACTGAAGGTAGAGTAGTTATTTTGTTATATGTTTGAACAATTAATCAATGAAAAAGTCAACTATTTGTAAAGAAAAATACTCAATATTTTTGCTATTGAAGGTCTTGTAAATATATGCATAATGACTCCGACTTTTGTGTAAAGACTTCACTAGCAATTTAATAAAAAATGTTTTTCAGACATTACAGTTCTGTGCTTTTTCTGTTCACAGGCGGGTGGTTCATTATCAGTCAACAGGATCATTACACTCTGATAGTCCCAGTTCAACTAGCATATCTCCTGTGCCAACTTCTCCCTCCCCTACACATACCCCACCACCACCACCTCCTTCAGGGGGTCGCACCACACCTAGCCCCCGCACCCCACAACCACCACAGCAACGACCCAGCTCAGTGGCATCTAGTTCAGGCAGCTTGCACAAACGCTGGAGTTCCACTGGAGACTTTAACAACTCTGGTATTACATCACCCACTGGTAGTCTGATTGGTTCCAACAGCATGGCCATTGCATCCAGGTGAGTTGCAGTTACCTGTCAGAGCATGCTTCTGCTATTAGTAAAATGCATGAAACAGTATGCAAACTATTGTTGATAATAACTTATCATACTGATACTTGTTCTTTGTTGTTTATCATGTCTGATCTGAAACTTTTTATCACTTACTCTTTGGATCATTCTGTATGAAATCAACAAATTTAAATAGAAAAGTACTGAATCATGAACTTAGATCAACATTAGAGCGCTTAAATTAAAAGAGGAAAGACTTCACCCATTCATGACCTCCTCACTAGCTGCAGATGAATAGTCAGCTTCACCTTTTCTTTCTCTTTACCCATACTAAAGGAGCCTGCAGTACCCATTGCATTAGATACTAGGAGAATTTAAGATTTGGTGTGGATATGGTGGCAGAGACAAAAGCTTCTGCCTCTTTGAGATACCATACTACACCAACAGTAAGTCATGTTGTACTGGATATGGAATTGACAATATGTAGAAAGTAAGCATTATGTCATGCTTGAGAGATAGAATTATTCTCACCATGAGTGTTCTCTCCTTCATCAAGTTATATCATACTGTTTTACTTTCAACAAGCACATTTACACATATCATCAGAAAGATTCAGTCGTAATGAAACATCCACTTTGGGATAGTAGAATGTTGCATTCTGCCTGTCTCCTCCTGAAGTTCTGCACTACAGATACCTCTGGAATGCACTCAGTGTGTTCTGACCATTAGACAGGCTGTACTGTGAAAGGGTCTTGTAATGAAATGCCAGTTCTTCACTCACACCATATGCTATATGAATATAAGGTATCTTTGTAATAACCCAAATGAAACTGCCATAAGGAGTCATTCATTATTTAATAATTCAATTAAACATATAGACTTCTATGATGTTATGAAATTTAGTAGACAGAAAATAGTGATTTCATTTCTACCTGGACACTGATTTGTCAGTAGGTATATAACTCCGTAAGGTCTGTTGACTTTTCGTGTATGTCATTGTATCACATCGGTTTTACACTGGGTGCAGTATAATGCAAAAAACGTGCTATTTCTCTGTGTATATAATGAAATTTCCTGAGGTACATAGATTATGTAGCATCAGATGTAAGGAAGATTTGTGAATGATGAATTTGGAAAATGTAGAAAGAAATGTGGCCCATTTTGAGATATTATCCCAGCAGTTGCCAGGATAGACTGAAGAGAAAAACAGAAATCCTCAATCAGAATAGTCAGAGAGCAGGAGGAGAACTGAGCCTTGAATTCTCCAAATACAAAGCAGAAGTGGTAACAGTTCAACAGCAATGCTTATTGTTTTGCAGTAAGAACTGTGAATCTGTATTTTGCAGTTTATGTTCACACCTTTGACTCCAAAACAATCTAATTGAAGCCGTGACGGAAGTTTTTACTTTGCACATTGAGGGGAGAAGTCAAACAAGAATATTTGAATTTCCAAGAAATTTTGTAAGTCAAAATGTTGTATGTAAATGGGGATTTTCAGATCCTACAAAATTGTTACCATCAACATGTGACATTAGAAGTTCATTAAGTACATCCTGAGACATGATTGTAAGTGAATCATCATTTGGGTCAAACTCTGAATCATGTGGTACAGCTTTGACTTCGGCTTTCCCTTCATCTTTTTACAGCAAATTGTGAACTCTGCAATGCATCCAGTATTTTATATCACATTTTTCGAAAGACTTGATAACAGTTTATACTCTTATATCATTCCATGTTCTGGTTATAAAATCATACAGTACTCCTGTTTTGAGCATAATGAATATCCCTGTCTTTTGTGAATGGTCTATGCTTTTAATATCCTTATTAGTAGTTGTCCAGATTGCTGCTTGGTTCTGATGATTGTATATGCTATATCAGCTATTGAAAATGTCATGTGATATCAAGTTCATCTTGATAGCTTTGCAGTTATGGTGCTTGTAGTCATGCTATCCAATCACATATTATTTTGTTGTGATTTATGGGTTAGTTATACAAAGAAACATGAAATTTAGTTAGAAACAATTATGGTGAGAGTTAAGTGATGCATAGCAGTGGTTGAATATTGGGTATCATTTAAAGATTTAAGGTTCATGTTTAATGAATTGTGTACAAGACAAGCCCTAGTTCTGGGGGACTGTTTTTAAACTTAGAGCCATCTTATACACTAATACGAGTATATATAGTGATACTTATATAATTAATGTTTTAATTAGGACTGTAATTTACAGGTATTCTGTATTAAGAAAAGAATTTAAATTTATTTACCAGTTTAAATAGAACTTGGTATGGTACACCTACATGAAGTTGTTTGGCAGTTTTGATTCTGGCATAATTTGGTTCATTTTAAGGACAGCAAAAATTGGTAACTTTAATGATTTTTAAGATTAACATTACTTAAGAACCTAAATACATTTCTGGGTGTATCTTGTCAAGAATTTACCCATGAGAAAAATGTCTTGAACTTTTCATGCATGAATGAAACACCCTTTTAAAGCTATCTGTATGAGAGCACATATGCCCATTTCTGTTAAACACAATTTACTACAAGTTTTGTGGCTTTTGCATGCAAAATTTATTGTGTCTAAGTGAAAATAAGTTCTCTTCATTTGTAATGTTCATTTCTTTGAATGTAATATATTCTTCTGTATATTGATACAGCTTGTTTGTGTTATTTTGTGTGTTGTTACTTACTGTGGTTGTATTGTTCTAGACTAGCAACCAAGTCATTGTTTAACCTGTACATGAGGCCACAGCAGCACCAGCAGCACTTGCTAAAGCATGGGTATGATATTTGCACATTTTAGTTCTTATTCACAGTGTATTTTACTGAGGCTGAGATTTCAAACATCTCTCCCTACTCACATCATTGGACTCAACTGGTGCCACTGACACACCCCACCTGCATATACCTTATTAAAGTTTTCCTTTTGATTGCAATAAGCGTTTAATATTTTATTACTGTTAGTCAAGTTTAGAAGCAATGTTAATCTTGAATATCCTAGTATGTATACTCGATGGTTTTGTTTTGTATACCTACTGGATACCCTTACCATAGCATGTTATTTAGCATATCTATATGCTGATAAATATTTATGTTCATTAAATAACTTTTTGAGATATAATTTTGCATGTGACATTTAATGTGTCATTACTGAGTTTTCTCCCTTTTGTAAGCTCAGCACCATATCTGTGTGATGCATGTGGTTTATGTACCTTAACTTCATTTCTTGAAAGAAAGCATGAAGATTCTGGCTGAATGTTAAAAAAATACATTCTCAGAAAACACTTGTGCTAAACCACAGGTAATTTTCTTTTTTTAATTGATTGTTTAAGCATATAAGGGGCAATTCGTTGTGCAGTCAGAACTGCATTGTGAAAATATTTGGTTGATAAGGATCAGTTGTATCTCTAATTGTAGGAATGATACACTATGCTTTTAAATTAATGAACTATGTTCCTGATATAGTGTTAAATATACAGTTTTAGGAAAGATGCTGGATAGCTTACAGTACATGTTATATAGAAGGATAATGAAATGTTGGTCTGTGCATGAAATCACAGTAAATATATTACTATGTATTTCACAGTTTAAATTCATTATATGGTTGGAGGTTTTCAGAGCAGTGAACATCTGGACTGTGTCTTCTAGGTTATGACATCGTATAGTCCACATTTCAGAATAATCTTTCTGCCTCCATTTTCAAGGTTCCTCCCAGATTACATGGTCCTGTAACCCAGAAGATCACAGTCTAAGACTGAATTTGTGTCATTAAACACAGACAGTGCTACGTCAGTGTCACTTAAAACATCGTATGTGTGTTTCCATAAAAAAGCAGTTAACTTCATATAGTTAAGATAGCGGATAGAGGGTGTCACGTGGTCAGTGCAATGAATCCACATGGCCGGTAATTTCGTCGCCATTTCCTTGAAATAGCTCATCAGTTATCCACATGAGGCTGAGTGAACCCCATTCCAGACCTACTACTCAGAAAATCTGTTAGCACTGGGATTCGAACCTGGACCTTTGGATCTGTAGTCAGGAAGTCTGGCCACTAGATCACAGAGGTGGTCGGTATAGTTCGCTTGTGTAATTCAACCATGGCGTTTTTTAATTAAGATAGCAGTATATTACTAATAACAACATGCCTTTAAAGTTCAATTATCTTTCATAACCCTAGGTGCTGATCAGCTGATCAGCTTATCTGAATTATGATGAGTGCATGGTAACTTTTAATTCAGGGTTGGCTTATATGAACATACGTAAATCGCAACTATAAGGAACAGCTACTCCCTTCAAACTAGATGTTTGATTAAGAATACAGTAGACAATGCAGACTGGCAAAATGTGTACTAAAACTGAAATTGAGATCTTTTATGCATAGTTCTCTTAATTTTACAGTACATTGTATCAAAATCATGGAAACATACGACAAATTTATGCAATGGATTTCACTGCTGGAGGGCATGGATTTCTACTAATTTAAATCATCATGAGGTATGAGAGGAAGGAAATTATTTTAGTCTTAATTCAAATGATGTTAAGCTCATTACTTGGTTTCGAAAGTTACTAAGCGTATGCCTTGAAACATGATAAAACTACGGGAGTATGTGACACATGGGAAGGATTGAGTTGTAGTGGAACCAGACATGGGCTTGAACAGAGATATTTGGTGTTGCATGTCAGTTCAAGGTTACTCACTGAAACAGTCTGTCGGCCTTGCAATCTAGTACATATAAGCAAATTATTCTTGTGTAAAAGCAAACAATTGCAGTGTTGAATGCAGTGTATATTAAAAAACTGCATTACACAAATCTTGATTATTTTATCTGATACATACCATCAAATTTTACTGCATATATTGTCATTCATAAAATACATTGAATATTTGTCTCTGAGTAAATTTTTTGTTAGTAGCATGCTTATATGCCATGGTTATAGCATGTATTACAGTCTTTATTAACTTTGCTGTGGGTTGGAATCTTTCTTAAAGCAAAGAAGTTTTGTAATGTATCAGGTATCCCTGCAATCTTGGGGGTGATCCTGGGAGCTAAAGGAACCCACTTCATTGGTAAAAAAGTTGTTGAATGGAAAAACTACCCAGATTTTCATACTGTCATGTGACTTCTTATTCGCACAGGATCAGTAGTATTTCCATATAGTTTCATGTAAGAAAAATGAAAATACTGTGTTTGAAATGAGATATATGAATAGTATTTGTTTATGTTGCATATTCATGGCTTCTTTATGTATATGAAAGGTTCTTGATGTCAACCCAGTGGACATAATATTCCATGATTATAAGTGGTACATTTAATATTCTCTTTATAATGTTTAATTTTAATTATTTTTTAAATGTATAAATTTACTCTATGAAATCGTTTCAGCAGAAGTATATTACAGGTCTCAGATAATTAATTGGTCATTTCTAAACATGGTCTTAACTTTATAGTCATTATGATCTTATCTAGTTTTGAAACTACAAGTAAAAATGTGGAGTTGCAGAAACTGAAAAGATAAGGTATGAAACAAAGACTTCCATTATTATTCAGATTCAGAGAGTACATTTAAGAAATATAATAACGCAGAATCAGACACAAGTTTTCTGTTGGTGATTAAGGGCCTGTGGCAGGATTTCTAGTCCCCTCCCCAGTTGGTTACTTTATCATTATCATCATCACTGTAGTCACAATCATCTCATTGTCATCATCATCATAATCATCATCATTCTGTCATATATTTCCACTGTTGTGCCATTTCTGGTGCAGTAATCCAATGAAGTTGAGTTATGATGGTTCACATCAGTCCTCTGTTGCAAGACTGAATATGAGGGGGAAGTGGATTGGCCTTGAGTGGAGGCAGTTATGGAAGAGTGAGAGCAATTGAGGTAGAGAGGGGGAAGGAAGAGAAGAGAGAGATAGCTAACAGCTATTTCAAAACATTATTCTGATGTTTCAAAGGACTTGCCACAAAAAGGCGATTTTGATGCTGTACGTATTATACTGCAGTACAAAATATATGTCAACAGATAATACTGAAAACTATTTTGTGAATAAGTTTGAACTTGGTTGCTGATGTAAACAGAAAAAAACATGGCTCCAAGGGCTAAATAAGAACATACTACCTCTTAAACATGGCTAGAAGGGTAACTAGGTTAGTTTCTCATCGTGTGAATGAAGATGAATGTCACAGGTATCTAATGACATCCCTGGAAATAGAAGCCTTACAATGCAATGCGCAGCATAATTGTTTTAAAATTTGAGTGTGTTGCAGAAGTTGATATACTATTTACGTGAGAAATATCTTAGAAATAAAGAACACCGTGTTCCAGTCAATGCCTTCTTCACCACTACTTCATAAGGATTGAACTTTAATTTCATCCTTTGTTGAAGTTATTATCATATCATCATCCATATTAGTGTTATTATTTTTATTCCATAATCTTCATCCTTTCCAACCTCTTTGAGGGCATTAGGACACCTTTAAAACCTTGAGATCATTAACGCACCAGAAATGTTACTGACATTGAATAATTTCAAAGTGTCAGCTTTAAATAATCCACATACACGTGCATAAACAAAAAATGTAACCCAGATCAGGTTAATAGCACAGAATACTTGTGGCTACAGTAGACAGAGTCATCAACCATGAAGCTATAATGCAGGTCATTCATTTGCAGCTTCAGTCTGCAAAAAGTTGTATTACTAAAACTAGGACCATGATCACTAATATTTCTTCTTTTCTGCCCTTTCTGGAATTGGATTTATTCCTGTTGTTAAGCACTTTATCGGATTACACCATAGTGGTAAATATGCTTTAAGTTTTGCCACTTAATGAATTCTGAGAACAAATTGCACTTATTTCCCTAACTGGCATTAACCATTGGCCATTGTAATGGAGATGCATTATGTTTCATGTGAGGTAGGAACTAAATTTTTAAACAATATTTGGATGAATTCCAGGTTTTTAGAGGGTTATTGTCTTGTTTGTGCCAGTTTTGATTCTAGCCAATAAATACTGTATACAATGGATTCTGATACTGCACTTTATTATGATAGCAGATAGCAGAAATCATAAACATTTATATTCTCTTTAGGTATTCGGATAATTGCTGTTAATTCATCTGATTATTTTGTCAGTAATTATGCACTGGTTGGTATAATTCTCAAGGCCAAGTGTGGTAATTTGTGTAGGACACTGTAAGTGCAGAAATCATAATGCAGGAAATGTGGGTATTATAATAACCATAGTGTATGTAAACTACATTTTATATATTCACTGAACTATAAATTGGATTGACATATTGATTGATATGTTATGTTTACTGGCAGTCAAGCAGAACTACTTCAATACAGAAGATGTCATTATTCCAGCTACATGTTTTCTGAAGTTGTAGTAAAGTAGTTTTCTGCAGAAGAGAGGGGAGAGATTGCTCATTGGTAGGGACAGAGATAGGAATGAGAGAAAGAGAGAGAGATATATAGGATGTTGGGTTGGTATTGGTGATTCCAGTCACAACAGAGTTGTGCTCAACAAGTGAATCAGTTACTGGAAATGTCATAGTTGTGTGTGGTACTTGAGGAAACTTACTGTAAAGAAGCTCAGTTATATGCCATTAGGAGTGGCAGTTTAACTGTGCACTGGGTGTAATATACATGTTTGTTTTGTTAAGTTCTTGTGTCCTGTTTTTTATCTGACTATGGAGTGGTAAGATTCTTGTAATATTGCAGTTGCTTTCAAAATTGAATATTTTATGTAAAAACAAGATTCACATGTGTCTGTTT